CCCCCCCCATGTTTATATCAAATATATGATCACAGAATATAAATGCAATCTATTTTTATTTAGAAAAATTTTTTTAGAAGAGTTTTACGGCACTAACAACACAAATAGATCGTATAAGTGTCTAAGATTAGAGGTCTTACTAGAATATAACATACTTAGAAAAGAGGGATGAGAGATAAGGATGATAGATGTTTGATAGGAAAGAAGGAGCAAACCACACTAGATACAGCAACCTTCAACCACTCACATTTCTATTTGCTCCCCCCAGGTACTGAAGCAGAACGAGGTACTGGGGGACCCCAGCAGGGGCGTGGCCCGGGGCTCCATGTCTAGCTTCAAGATCAAGACGCCGCGGGAGAAGTGGCTCAAGCGACGCACCACCATCAAAGTCAGGGTGAGTACACAACACTCTGACCTCATTTGTTAAAGTAAGAGTTGAGTACTCGATACTCTGACCTCATTTGTTAAAGTAAGAGTTGAGTACTCGATACCCTGACCTTGTTTGTTAAAGATCCCATTTCTTTATGCAAATTTGTGAGAGATAAAAAGAGATGGAGAGAATAGGGAGGGGGAGAGCGAAGTATCAAATAAGACACAACTTTGTTAAGTTTTCTCTTTGAAGTTCAATAAAAGTTTCTAATTTTCAATCTCTTTAATTCTCTTTACTTCATCAGTCAAACTTTTTGATTAAACGGTTAAACTTTTTGGCTCTAAATGATATAATATAATAATAATGATGATGATGATGATGATGTTGATGATGATGATGATGATGAAAATAGTGATAATAGTAATAATGGTTTTGATAATTTAAACAATTTTAATTCATTATTATTATTATTATTACAAATGTATTATTATTATTATAATCATTATTATATTATAACTATTAATTCGGAACACAGAATCTGCAGCCCAACCATCGTGCCAATGACGTGGTGTGCCTGGAAGATAAACCTCAACGACTGACGGCAAAATTCATGTACGGCTCCCTCGACATCGCCTCTCTCACCGGGGAGAAGGTGAGTACTTGCTGAAAAAATCTTATCTGGTGGATGGTAGTTTTTTCAATGCTTACTAAGAATTGGGAGATGTGAATTGTTTTAGATTTTTTTGTGTTACCTATGCTGTTCCTGATTTTTTCAGTGTCATCATTTGTTTTTGGTGGCATTCTTGGATGTTCCACAATTTCACACATTTTTTTGTTGGTGGTTGCTGGGTGCTCTGGTGTGGTTTGCTCTTTCTTTCCTATCAAAAATCTATCGTCCCTATCTCTCCTCCTTTTTTGTGTTTGTTTTTCTCTTGTAACACCTCTATTCTTCGGCACTTGTATGACCTTATTGTGTTGCAAGGGCCATAAAACTCTTATTAAAACACATTTTTTCACCCATTTGGTAGGTTCTAGTTCCTTTCTTTCTCTGTCTGTCTTGCTGTTTCCATACACTAGAAGACTTATTATGCTGATTCTCCGCCTTATGTACCTGACGATATAGGGAGAGAGTAAGTATGTATTGTGCTGATGTTTGTCTCGTCATTACTCAAACTTTGTCCTTGACCTTTGTAGTATGTGTTGCTGTCGCCAGGTTGACGTCAATGTCATGAAGCAGCCGTCGTCCGGAGACTGGACGCACCTGGGCACAGAAGTCACCGACAGTCATGGTCAGTGTCCATTTTCTGTGCTGGGGGACAATAACTGGATGTACTTCAGTGTGGGCCCTGTATTGTTGGTGGTTGGCGGGTGGTTTGGTGTGGTTTGCTCCTTCTTTCCTATCAAACATCTATTGTCCTGATCTATCCTCTTTCTTCTCTTCCAATCGAACATCTATTATCTTTATCTCTGCTCCTTCTTTTTTATGTTTGTTACTTTTTTAAAAATCTGATTTTTGTCACTTATATGACCTAATTGTGTTGAGAGAGCTGTAAAACTAAAACTAAAGGACTCATTATTCTAGCTGAGTCCCCTGGTGTAGGGCATAGTAATTTTTGGGTGGGGAGGAGGATAAGTTTTATTTTTTGCAGTTTTCATTACTAGGTCATTGTAGGTAGGAGAGGGAAGGGGTTGAGAGAGAGAGAGAGAGAGGGGTGGGG